AAAAAAAAAAAAATTGTTGAAGTGCTTTTTTCTTTGTCATCCCATCTACAGTCTCATTGGTCCTCTAAGCATCCCCAAGATGACAGAAAAATAATAGATTAAGATGACAGAAAAATAATAGATTTCATTCTCAGAGAAACAGGCTCAGATGGGGAAGACTGGTTCAAGGGTCTGGTTTGGGGGCCATTGTATTCTTGCACCCACACTCCCGGTCTGTGTAGGGTTGGATCAAGTAGGGAAGGGAGAGGAAGGAGCCATCTCCCAGGGGTGGAGTCCTTTGGGTGATGGGCTTTCTAAGGAGCCCAAGGGGTAGAGACAGATGGGATTAACCAAACTGGGGACCTTCACACACAGATACCAGCTTTTAATCAAACAGCAGCTTTTACTGAGCTCCAGGTAGGGCTGGCCCAGCATGGCCAGTACAGCAGGCTGCCCTCGAGGGCCAGTCTGTGGCATGACAGGAAATGCAGGGGTGCACATGTTGGGGCTGCCCTTTGGCACTCACTGGGGTGGGTCAAGGGAGAGCAAACACCAAGGTCCTCTGGAGACCAGAACCGGCCAGTGCAGCCGTTTGACTTCTGCTTCAGGACCAGCTGGGTCAGTCCCCAGGCCCTGAGGCAGTGCCTGCATCCTGGGTCCGTGGGGCACTACTGCTGTCACTGCTCTGAGGGAGAAAGACGGCCAGCAGCACAATCAGGATGATGAGCAGGCCACCGACCACCACCAGCCCCAAGCAGACCCGGCTACGGATGTTCTCCCAGCGCTTCTTCTGGGCCAGGGTCTTTGTAGTCTTGCTGAAGGTTGAGCTCTGCGGATACCCCCAGACACAAAGTGAGAGTTAGCTGGCACCCCCTTTGCCTGGGAGCCAGCTCCTCCCAGTCCCATCTCAGTAAGGCTTAGTCTCCTCCTGCATCCTCCCCATCTTGTCTGCTTTCTTTCTTGTTTTTTTTTCTTTCTTTCTTTCTTTGTTTTTTGTTTTGTTTGAGATGGAGTCTCTCCCTGTCACCCAGGCTGGAGTACAGTGGCACAATCTGAGCTCACAGGAGAATTCAAGAAATTCTCCTGTCTCAGCCTCCCTAGTAGCTGGGACTACAGGCACATACCACTGCACCCAGCTAATTTTTGTATTTTTAGTTGAGACAGGGTTTCACCATGTTGGCCAGGCTGGTCTTGAACTCCTGACCTCGTGATCCACCCGCCTCGGCCTCCCAAAGTGC